TCTGTATTCCTTACAGAAAGAGAAGACTTGATTCATAAGTATTCTGATCAATGAAATAAGAGCAAGGAAAGGATTTCATTCATTCGTTCAGCAAACAACACGGAACACCTGCTATTTGCCAAACGATATTTTAAGCACTGAGAACCAGGCCATAAACAAAGCAAAACAAAAACTTTGTGCTGTTTACATGACAGCCGCCCCACAAATAAGCTAAAACTACCATGAGCTACCACAGAAAGGCCTGGTGCCTGAGTCCCTGTCAAATGCCTGTGTACCTGCCACTAGCAGCCAGCCACAGCCCAGCTGTGGGCATGGCCCGTCCCCAGCTATACACAGCTGTGTCTGCATTTCCCAAGGGGAATGCTGTGGTCAGGAAGCCAAGCAGAAAAGTATGACCGCGTGTATAGGAAGTGCACAGACAGGAAACTGACCGATGCCACGTAAAGTCGAGCTTGTGGCTCCACGGAGGGCGGGCAGTGGTAATGGTAACTGGGATGGGAGGGGCCCTCTGGAGAATGGCACACATTTCTTGACCTGGATGCTGGATCCAGGAGTGCATTATGTGTGCCTGCCCCTGTTACAATAAGCACAATTTCCTGTGTTATATTCCAATAAAAATAAGAATAAACACACATACACATATATCACGTGGGGATACACTGTTATGGAGAAAAATGTGGAGAGGGGACATGGAGTTGGGGGGGGAGGGAAAGGGAATATTGTGATTTCTGTTACTCCGTTTATTTATATGTATTTATGCTGGGGACCAAACATAGGGCCTGATGCATACTAGGCAAGAGCTCTGCCAGTTCCTGGCCTGGTTATTGTTACCCCAGTGGAATGTTTCCCTGGGGAAGGGTCCCAGGAGAGGGGACTGGGCCAGAAGCACAAACCACACCAGGGTCGCCAGTGTTAGGAATCTCAGGGCTGATGAGCTCACCAAGGGAGCGGGTGCAGCTAGAGCTCTGAGGACTGACCTGCGTCACAAGTGGTCCGCAGGCTGGCTGTCAGCTGGAGTGTCTGCCAGCCACATGGCACTGCAGCCACGGGGCTGTGGCCTCTTGGAGATGTCCACCGGTAGAATTTGGGGTACACCAGAGGCATAGGGAATAGCAATGTAGGGCATATCGTAGTCTGAATATTCTTTCTAGTGAGTATTACCTGTGTGAACCTACAAGTACCTTACTGTTTGATATTACAGGCTGAATTGTATCCTCTAAAAGGTATGTTGAAGTCCTAGCTCTGATATCTGTGAACGTGACTCTGCATGGTAAATAGGGCCTTTCAGATGTGATCGAGTTACGCTGAGGTCATCCTGGAGTGGGGGTTCACAGAGGTGGCCATGTACGTGGGACACTGTATGAGGACCCCTGGGGTGACAGCCTGCGTTGGCAGGAGTGGAGGTCAGGGTGCCGTGTCCACAAGCCAGGCAGTGCCCAGAATTGCTGGCAACACGGGAAGCTAGAACAGTCTCTCCTCTCAAAGCTTCAGGGGTCACAGCCCCACCAGCACCCTGAGCGCAGCTTCCCAGTCTCCTGAACTGTGACAGAACAAACTTCTGACGTTGCTGAGCGCTTTGTACAGCCACCTTAAGAACACATTCGGTAGTGCTTTTGAAGAAATGATTTTGCAATGAAATCTTTTACCAACTGTGAACTCCAAAAAACAAAAGTGCGTATTTACTGAAAAGGAAAATAGGACTTTTTCAGTTCTTTGAGAGAAATGCTGACAAACTACACAAAACATGTGCTGGTATTTGTCACTTGTCATCAGATTGTAGTCATGACCTAGAACACCAGAGCCCGTTGGAAAAGTCAGTCACTGTCTTGAAACTGCAGAGACAGCCAGTGTAGCTTGGGGTGAATTCTGCCTTCTAGGAGGTGCGCACCTCCTCTAGGCCAGCCAGGCTTCTTCTAAGCCAATTTCACTCAGCTTTCACCTCAGGCTTCATTATGCGAGCTAAGGAAGGTGGTAAGTGGCTGCCAAAAGTGAGATAGCTCATGGTCTAAAGAGCCGGCTTAGGCAACCTTAGGCAGACCAAGGTAGGCTGAGCAGGCCACAGAAAGGAAAAAAAAAAAAAAAAAAAAGCAAAGTCTTTGAAGTTTGTAGCATGCTGCAGTTACTTAAAACAAAGCTGGAATACAGTAGACAGTGGCATTTATTCTTAACAAATGTTAACAAGTGTTAAGCATTCAAATAACATAGTAGCTTTAGTATTTTTAATGTATCCTTAGCTTTGGAGACTCTTCTTACAGGAAGATTGTTGGGATGATGCTTGGTCACTTTCCCATCGCTGGGACCAAATGCAGCCCCCTCAAAATTTAAAGGACGAGAGGTTGACTTGGATGGCAGTTTTGGTCCAGCGCTGGCTTCTCGAGGCAAAAACCCGCAGGGTAGAGGGGCGGGGAGAAAAGCTGCTCAGGCTGAGGCAGCAGGAAGCAGGGAGGCGGAGAGGCGGTGCAGCCCTCCAGCCCCACCTCCAGGGACACCTGCCACCAGGCCCCGCCTGCTAGCTGTGGGCAGCGGTGACTACCTGGGATGTTGCCCTCAACCCCTTTTTCTGTTTGCCCTCAACCCCTTTTTCCCTTTGCCTTTACAGGTATCGCGCTCCTGAAGTTCTGTTAAGGTCCTCAGTGTACAGCTCTCCCATTGACGTGTGGGCCGTGGGAAGTATAATGGCCGAGCTGTATACCCTGCGGCCGCTGTTCCCAGGCACGAGCGAGGTTGATGAAATCTTTAAAATCTGCCAAGTTTTAGGGACTCCCAAGAAAGTAAGTACTCCTGTCCCAAATCATGATGACTTTTATTTCTAACTTGCAACTTTACTTTTAATTTTGTATCTTTTGATTATTTCTAAGTTTTGTCTAAAGTTTCACCAACATATCTGATTTTTCATTTTCATAGTTTTAGACATTAGTGGTTTTTCTTATGCTTTTTTTATTTTTATTGGCGTGAGATAAAAATAGCAAGAAGCCAGAATCCCACCAGACTGAAAGACAGCAGTGTGTGCCTTTCCTTAAGAAGTTAAGGAAGGACCTGGGTGTGGTGGCACAAGCCTGTGGCCACAGAACTTGGGAGGCTGAGGCAGGAGGATCACTGTGAGTTGAGGCCAGGCTGGGCCGCAAAGTGAGTTCAAGCCCAGCCTGCACTGCATAGTGAGGACCTTGTCTCGGAGGGAGGGAGGGAGGGAGGGAGGGAGGGAAAGCGAGCAAGCTTGAGGTTGAGATTCTTGTCTGTTCAGTGTGTGGCTTTGGGCCAATGAGAACTAGACACACAGCCTTGCTTGCACACCTCTGGCCTGCTCTGTGAGTCCCCCTCGTCACAGGCTTCCTCACCCCTGGGACCCTGGACCTTCTTTCCTGGTTGGATTTATATTCCTCTGCCAAAGGTACTTGGTTTTTTAAACTCCAAGTACAGTACTTTTCAATTACTACTGCATTTTTGACACAGCTTATCATCTAAGATGCACTTAAAAATTGTTAACTAAGTATAATGAGATCCTAATTAAGTCAGTATGTACCTGGTCATCAGAAATGTAAATGTAGATACTAAAACTTTGCTATAATTGTCACTTCCCAGGTGCCTTTTAATATGAGATTAGATGTGTACCGTGTAATGCGGATCTGGGTGAGACATGGGCTGTGTCACCGTGGTCACTGTTAACATCAGAGTTGAATTATGAAAATCCTTTCTTGTTTTTTGTAACTCTGTTCAATGCTTTTTTTCTATGTGGTTTACTATAGAGCTAAATCATAATGTCTGTATTTCATTTTCACATTTACACTTACAAGTTAACATTAAAATTTTCACACCTGAATAATTTCTGTATTATTGCTATATTTTAAAATTGATTACTGAAAACAGTATTATTTTCGCTTTCCCCTGCCTGTACTTGCTACATCTCAACAGAGTGACTGGCCAGAAGGCTACCAGCTTGCGTCTTCCATGAATTTCCGGTTTCCCCAGTGTGTTCCCATCAATTTAAAAACTCTTATTCCCAACGCCAGTAGTGAAGCTATTCACCTGATGACTGAAATGCTGAACTGGGATCCGAAGAAACGACCCACAGCAAGCCAGGTGTGGCGACGCTCCCCTACACGCCTCTGTAAAATGTTGAGGTTTTGCCAAGCAGGGTGCTTTCATTTATGAAGATGACTTGTTTCTTAGCCAAGGTTTTACTAAGAAAATGAGGATTTGTAGTATGTGTGATGGGCGAGTGTGATCCTTGGAGAAATGCGGTTACAGCTGCTGCGCTTTTCCTGCGCCTTTTGCTTCTGATGAGGACACTTACGGGGCTGAGCCAGGATGGAATCAAACTAGCAAATCAGCATGGACAACCATTCAGGAAGACGTTTGTCCTGGGCAGCAGGAGACAGGCTCGCCCGCTTCCCACGGTGGCTTCGTGCACTGTCCTTGGGCTGAGGGGCAGCTCTTGCTCACTGCACACACCGCCAGGCTTCCCTCCCTGGGACCAGAGCGACGGAGGCTGTGGCCTGTGGGTCCCCAAGAGGGCATGCGGTGGCACACACCTTGTGCGTCTTCCTGACAATTGTACGCCATGCCTTTATTGGCAAAAGGCTTAAATTTTTTTAAATGATAAATTTTATTGCATTTTTATGATTTAAATATAAATTTTATCTACAAATTACCAAACACTTAACTTTAAAAAAAAAAAAAAAACTAAAGTGTCTTGTAAGGCCATCTGAAAGAACAAATGAGAAAGAATAGCCAAGACATGTCTGGACAAGAGTAAGTAATCAGAGAGCAGTGTGGGGTGGATGAGGATGAAATGACCTGTGGAGTCACAGAAAGGACCAGGGTGGAAGTACTGACCCAGGGACCGACAGAGTTCGCACTGTGGACTGCAGAGGTCCGTGTGAGGTGAACCTGCATTGCATGCGGGCAGAAGTTCTCAGCAGACTAGCAGCCTCCACCAATACGGCAGCAAAGGATTAAATAATGTGTTGTTCAATCCTGTGGGAAGCTGAGGCACATATATATTTATATTTGTATGCTAAATCATTGAAGACTAGAAGGCAAGCCTATGTGAATATTTGGCTTCAGGGTGAAAACAGCAATACAAAAGTAATAGAAGAAATCACAAAAGGAAAACTCAGAAGGTTTGAATTATTAAGAATTGGGGTCAGGGACATAGCTGTGCAGACAGTACCTGCCTGGCAAGCACAAGGCCCTGAGTTTGATTCCAGGAACAAAAAAAAAAAAAAAAAAAAAATTGGGAAGGCCAGTGGTATAGCTGAGTGGGCGAGTCCGTGACAACCATGGCCAAGGGGCCCTTGGTTCTATAACAAACAGCAGAAAGAAGAAAAAAAAGGAAAGAAAAATCAAGCTGGGTGTAGTGGTGCACACCTGTAATTCTAGCACCCAGGAGGCTGAGCCAGGAGGATTGCAGTAAGTTTTAGGCCAGACTGGGCGAGGCAGTGAGTTCAAGCATAAGGTACATAGTTCAAGGTTAGCCTGAGCTACACAGCAACACCCTGTTGCATACAAACAAAACCATTGTTGCATTGTTAGTGGTGAGCAGCACATCTGAAACGAAGGGTGCACGTAATTTAAACTGGAACCGGGTAGACCAGCTGAATGGTAATGTAACGTCTCCACGCTTTTACAGGCGCTGAAACACCCGTATTTCCAAGTTGGTCAGGTGCTAGGACCTTCCTTGAATCATCTGGAATCCAAACAGTCTTTAAATAAGCAACTGCAGCCAGTAGAATCAAAGCCATCTTCAGCTGAACTAGAACCTAGGACGCTGCTGCCAGATGTCATCGACCAGACTGTCGGGCCATCCCTCCCGAAACACAGCCACCAGCCTCTGCAGTCCATCCAGCTGGTGCAGAATGTGGGCACCCCGCCGGCCCCAAAGCAGCAGGCTCAGCAGAAACCCCCGCACACCCTGTTTCCGAGCATCGTCAAAAACGTGCCTGCTGTAAGTAGCTGGATGATGCGGTGAAGGCAGTAGCTGGACTGGTGCGGTTGGGCTCTGCTTGCAGGTGCTGCCCGTAATGCCAGGGAAGGTGTGAGAGACAATGCTGTGTAAAGGCCCTGCTTCCTCCAGGAGGCGCTCAACAGGAGACGCGTAACATTCTCACAGGGTGTAAGAGAGAAGAGCTTGCAGATAAAGTTTCAAAGTGGGTGTGCTGCTCATTTCCCTTAGTAGTTACTTCCATGCAAAATAATTCAAGGACAAAAAGAAACAGAGCTGGGCTTGGAAGCGCAAGCCTGGAATCCCAGCCCTCTGGGAGGCTGAGGTAGGAGAATCAAGGTTCATGCCTTGCCCGGGCAACTTAGAGACTTACTGAGACCCTGTCTCAAAATAGAAATTTTTGAAAGGGGCTGGGGGAGTAGCCCAGTGTGTGAGGGCCCCGCGTTCAATCTGGAATTATGCAAATAATAAAACAAGAGTATTCGTGAGTACTGATTCTAAATCTGGAGGCTCCTAACAGTAATTTCATGCTGTTTTAAAATGTTAATGAAGATGAACAGAATGGGTATTTTAGGCATCAGACTCACACAAATTCCCTCTTCCCACTGGTGTTCGGGTGAAGGAGCCCATCAAATCTATTATCTTGGCTACTTTCTTGTTGCTGGAACAAAATACCCAATAACTACCAGTTAAAGGAGAAAAGGTCTATTTTAGCTCAATTTGTAGACATTTCAGTCCATAATTGGCTGGCTCCAAGGCAGGGCAGCATGAGAGAGGGCCGCCACCAAGGAGAAACCGTGTGTGGCATGGTGGGCAGGAGCCAGTGAGCTTCCTTCTTTCCCTTCTTATTCTACAAGCCTGTCAGGTGGTGCCACCACGCCCAGCAGGGGTCTTTGCTCTCCATTAAATCCATTGTCCACAGCCAGCACTGTGCTAACCCAGTGAATAAACTAACCCAGAGTCACATGCCCATGAAAGCCCCAACTATGACTGCATGAGGCTTGGAGGACATCTGGACAGCAGCCGTAACAGCCGTATTACTTCAGTGTCCCCTCAGGTGTTCAGTTCCAAATGCTCACTGTGAGCTTACACAGCACTATGTCTAATTCCTTACACGACCCGAAACACACTTGGAAAGTAGCCCCCACCCCAAGTAGCCCCAGCCGCACTGTTAACACACAGTGAATTACTTGGCTGTTGGCTTTATCGTTTATTGTCTGGGCCTGTCTACTAGAATGCAGGCTTTGTGACGTGAGGAATATTTTCCTGTTTATCAGCTCAGCCCAGATCCCAGAACAGTGCCTGCCGCACAGAATGTTCTCAGTGATCTCTGAATGAAGGAACAAGAAACGACCACAGTTTCCAAACAACCTCCGGGGGTCTGCTTTATCTTTCTGGCAATCCAGAGGAGTAAAGAGTTGTTTATGAGTGGAAAAACCTGGTTTTCTGAAGCTTTTGATAAAAGCCCATCACTTTTCCTGAAAGGCAGCTTTTTAAGTGCAGTATTTGAAAGTGGCCTTCATAGGATCTGCCCCTGGGGAAGCATCCCCAGATCCTTGGAGTTTTCCCTAACTCCAGCATCTGGAGGTCATTGTCCCGGTAAAAGAAATACCAGTGTGGATGCTGGTGAGTGCTTGTCACTGAGCTGTCAGCTTTTGGCAGCAGCATGTTCGTCCCATCAGCATCTTTTGTCCACGAAATCGCCATGTCCCCAATTTGGGATTGAGTTTTGGATTTTGCAGTTCATGTGCCCCCAGGGTACTCCCTATAAATGTGTATAAAACCAGCCCAAGCCAGGCCTAGCTTCCTTATTTCTGTGAATGGTGCCAGCATTTTGAGATAACCACTCAGGCTTTTAAAGTCGCTCTTGTGCTCTCCCTGTCTGTGTCCACTCAGTGCCCTAAGGCAGAACCTGCCCTTGGGGCTTACATAACCGGGTGGTTGTCTCAGTTAACAAGAAGTCACTTGGTGGGTAACCAGAGCTCAGGCAGCTTCAGAAGGAAGAGAAAGCATTTTGCTTCTGTCTTCCAGCTCCTCCCCTCAGCAGGTGTCTGTGGCCACAAGGTGGTTATTACTCTTCCAGGTATCCATCTACACTTCAAGAAGAAAGTAGGAGGCCCAGGGAGATAGCTCAGTAGAATAAGCACTTGCCTGGCAAGCGCAGGGTCCTGAGTTCAAGCCCTGGTGCTGCAAAAAAGAAAAAGCAAGAAAGATAACGGATGTGCCTGCCTTAGTCCCTTGTCCTTAAGGCCATCACTGTTTGAGGAGGACTTTAGTGTTTTGAAGAGCTAAGTCACTTGCCCAGAGAGACACAGCCACGGCCCCATATTATGGTTTATGTACACACATCCCCCAAAGCCTCATGCAGTCATAGGTGGGGCTTTTTTGGAGGTGGCTGAATTTAGAGCATGTGACTGATTCATAATGCAATGCTAGGATTAAAGGTTCTGAGATTAAGGGTGGGTGATTGCTGGATCAGTCCATTGACTGGGCTAGCACCACCCTAATCCCAGTAGACTAGATACAGTACAAGGGCCAGAACGAGGCTTGTCTTGCTCTTCCTTGTTGTTTTTGCTGGCTTCTGTCACCATGAATTGCTGCCCTCTGCCATATGCCACGCTGCCTTGGAGCCAGCTGAGTATGCACTGAAACCTACACAAACTGTGAGCTAAATAAACCTTTCTTCCTTTAACTTTGGGTGTCAGGTATTTTGTTTCAGCAGTGAGACAAAAGTAACTAAGACACCCAGTTTCCTAGGATCATTCACATTAAAGAAATCAACTCATATCCTGAGTTTTCACATTCCCTCCATGCCACGTTCTTGGAGCTCCTGCCTCCCTAGGAGCATCAATCAGCTGTGGGGCCCATGCTGCCTATCTTGTTAATGTTTTTAAACTTGCATATATATTCCCTCCTTGAATATAGTCATAGGGGCCGGGGAGATGGCTCAGTAGAATCCGTGCTTCCCTGGCAAGCACAAGAGCCTGAGTTCAATCCCTGGTTCCACCAAAAAAAAAAGGATTATAATCATGTATCACATTATGACATTCCTGTCACAAGTGTACCACAGATACATGTCCTGGTGTTTCAAGCTGTCATTGCAAGTTTAAAAATTAAACATTTTAAAATAAAGTTTAAAAGTATTTGAAGTTTATAAAGGAAAAAGTTACTGTAAGCCAAGGTTAATTTATTAGTGAAAAAAGAAAAATACATTTTGACTGGGCCTGGTAGTAATTCCAGCACTTGAGAGGCTGACGCAGGAGGGTCTTGAGTTAAGGCTGCCTTGGGCTACATTGCAAGTTCAAGGTCAGCCTGGATTACATAGCAGGATGTTGTCTCAAAAAAGAACATGTTTAGATAAATTTAGCGTAACTGGGACCCAGGAGATAGCTCAGTAGAATGAGGGCCTGAGTTCAACCCCCGGTTCCAAAAAAAAAACCAATTAGTGTAACCTAAGTGAGCAGTACTTATAGAACCACCCAGTACCATGCAGCTGTGCCTGGGCTTCACGTTTCCTCGCGTTCAGTGCTGACTCCCCCGGAGCAACTCCTAGTCCTGCAGGCTCTGTCTGTGCCAAGGAGCATCATCCGTAGCTGTTGGACTAGATTTTATGCACCTTTGCTTGTGATTGTCGTGTGCCCATGTGTGTGTTGTGCAGGCCTCGTGCTCACGAGGCCCATGTTCTCCCACTAAGCTACAGCCCGCGCCCCTGCTCACCGTTTCTGAGCTCAGGTGTGTTCAGACACACAAATACGAACCCTGTGTCTGGGCCACCCTGTGCGGCACAGTGAGCTGTGGTGTGGGCTGGACCAGTCAGCCTTGGCCTGGGGCAGGCTGTGCCCTGCACGGTGCTGTGAGTGCACTCTGTGGTGCTTGCTCCATGACGGTCAGCTTGGGGTGCCGTTGTAAGAGCAGGTGCTGCGATGAAGTGGGCTGGCTGGCCGCGACTGGCTGGACGGCTCTGAAGGGCCGGGACTTGCAGTCTGATGGGATTGCTCATGCATGGAAGGGATGATTCAGACCGACTGTCCCCGCAGAAGCCGGTCGGCGCCGTGGGCCATAAAACTGGGAGGCGACGCTGGGGTCAGACTGTCTTCAAGTCTGGAGACGGCTGGGAAGAGTTTGAGGACGGGGACTTCGGAGCCTCCCACTCCAAGAAGCCAAGCATTGGTGTTTTCAAAGAAAAGAGGAAAAAAGAGCCTCCATTTCGGTAAGATTTTATTCTTTCTTTCTTTCTTTCTTTCTTTCTTTCTTTCTTTCTTTCCTTCTTTCTTTGTCTTGCTCACTGTTGTTTGTTATTGAATCTTCACACTCCGGGCACAATGCTTGACCTATTATATACTCAGATTTTGATCAATATTGGCTGGATCGGTAAGATTTTAAATTCATGTTTGTACTATGCATCAACCTTATTTTATTAAGCATAAACAAACATGCTTACAAACTTAAAGCACAAAGACACAGCTTAATATTGTCTTCTATAAAAGTCCTCTTTATGAATAGCTCTGAAAAGGCGAGACCCTTCCTATGATAATATTGTGATGAGTGCTGTGTGTGCACGAGCACTTCTCTGTTTGTGCACGCTCACACACGCTCACACACGCACGCACACGCACATGCGCACGCGTGCAGGGAAGGACTCCGGTCTGAATGGTGCTCCTGTTGACCATGATCCCTGTGCTCCCTGTCGGAAGTCCACGCATCCGTCTGCAGGAAGCGGAGCACCATACACTAGGTGACCGGTGGCCTCCGATAGAGCTGATTGCATTCTTAGCTTGCCATGAACTTCGCAGTCATGTCCTGATCCTTGCGGAAGTTTGATACCTTTGGCAGTTCTATTCCTTTTTATAAGTGAGGTCGTGGTGGGTGCGCCGTTCAGGACTGAAGTTAGATGGGCTAAATGTGGAAACTCTTGGGGGACTGTACCTTCAGTTTTTCTCCTCTTTGAAGCTGAAAGAAAAGAGCTGTGTCCTGCACTGGGGAAGTGTGTCTCAGAGTCATTCACCGAGGCCCAGGGCGAAGCCCGCACTGTACGGTGCACACACCCGAGGACACAGAATCTCTAAAGCAGGGACTGGGCGTGGGGGTGCATGCCTGTAATCCCAGCACTGGGTGGCTGGAAACAGGAGCATCACCACCAGTCCCGGCAGCGTAGTGATCTGTTCCAAATACATTTAAAAAGAAAATCTCTAAAGCATTAAGTGCTTGCCTAATCCTTTTCAGTTTTTAATTCTTTTGTGTTTTGTTTTTGGTGCCGAGGACCAAACCCAGGGCTTTCAGATTGCAGGGCAGGCGTCCCACCCCTGAGGCAAATGCCCAGCCCCGAGCTTGCCTAATTCTTAGCTAGTGCATGTCAAGATTGGCATGTTCCACAGGTCTCATCCCTGAAGTACCTGAACTTGAGGAAAAGTCCACTTCACCCTCTGGTGGTGAGCTTTCTGCCACTGTGACAAAACAGCCGCAGCAGTCACCATATAGGAAAGAAGGACTTACAGGGCACAGGCACGGAGAGCATGTCAGAATGTGTGCCAGAGGAGGCCGGCTTGCGCTTGGCAGTCAGGAAGCGGAGGGGGCAGGCGGGGTTAACGAACACAGGACACACTGGCTCTGCCCGCCCAGCGTGGTGTCGCATACCTGTGACTCCAGTGCTCCTAGGGGCTGAGGCAGGAGGGCTGTAAGTCTGAGTCCAGCCTGGGCAATTTAGGGATTTAGTGACACCCTGTCTAAATAAATTAGGGCCAGGGAAGTAGCTCAGTGCAAAGGCCCTGGGTTCAATCAAAACTGCCAAAAGAAAGCCCCACCCACATCCTGTGTGGGGCCAGAAAAAACGCCATGCTGCCCGCTGGGTGGGCTGTCATTACCAGCCCTGTCAGCACGAGGATGCTAACAAACCATTTCAGGAGTCGCATTGAGAGTTAAAGGGGCTCATGAGGACGGAGTGGTCAGTCCTCCTAAGGCTGTCTCTTCTTGGCTTCCCAGGCTTCCGGAGTCAGGGCTCCTAGGCGCCCACCAGCCTGCCAGGGAAAACAAGAGCATGCCTGCTGCTGTCTCGCTCAAGTCGGACTCGGAGTTGTCGGCCGCGTCGGCATCGAAGCAGTACTACCTGAAGCAGGCACGGTACCTCCCAGGTGAGCAGAGCAAATGACGCGCTTCCTGCCAGGCAGAAGGCAGACGGGGGGCCCAGTGGGGCTGAGGAGCTTGTGGAGCGGTCTTGGGGACACGGCAAAGCCCTGTCTTCCTGGGTATTTGAAGATCTAAGCAGGTTAAATACTGTCTGTTTTGTTGTAAGCAAATTAGTTAGGCTCCAACAGACCTGAAAAAGACGGGTCATAAAATTAGAAAAATTGTGTAGGTAGAGAGACCAAGGGGAGGCCTGGCCTAGGTCCTGTCAGTAGTGAGTCTGCTGGTTCCTAAAGGACCAGCTACCCTCCTCTGCGAGAGAAAGCCCTGGGACCCGCAGGCAGCAGAAGCACTCTCGTGTTCATCTCGCTGATTCCTTCCCTGTGTCACTCCTTCCCTCAGTGATGGTGCAGGGTACCTGATGCCTGCCAGGTTCGCATGGCTCTGGGTGCTGGCCAGAGCTCCAGAGCTTGAGCTCCAGCGAGAGGCAGCGAGGAGCTACCTCATAGCTCCGGCATGTGTGCAGTGAGCGTAGCAGGGCTTTCCCAGGGGCGCTGTCATGGGCCACAGGCTGGGGGTGAGTGGGGGGCAACTTGGATTTTATTCCGGGTCCACTTCAGGCCTTGGAGGACTTCAGGAGGGAGCAGCATCTGACGTGTGTTGGGAAGACCCTTTGTCTGCCATGTAAAGATCAGATCCCCGGGGAGGGACAGCGGTGGTTAGAGGCTGCTGGATGCCTGTGTACTGGTCAGATAGTGGGAGACAGAGAAGAGTGAGTTTGGGGCTCGATGTGGGCAGAGTGAAATGGGAAGACAGACGAGGAGCAGGTTGGGTGAGGAGGCCTGCTATGCCATTGGGGTCTTACATTTGAGGTGCTTGGGAAATGGACCAGCAAGGAGGTGAGGAGAGGTCACAGATGGTGAGATGGACAGGAGAGACCAGGACACTGAGGGGGCCTGGGGCCCAAGGTAACAGACATGGAAGTCGCTAGCATGCAGACAGTGTTTAAACCCACAGAACGAGACCAGACCCCCAGAGAGGCTGGAAGGGGAGGGGAGAAGGCAGCCGGACAGGTAGGGGAAGCCCAGATTAGGGTGTCAGGAAGCCCCAAGGGGAGTGCCTACTTGAAGGGCTGTTTGGCACTGAGCTGCTGGGTAGGAAGGGACAGATCGAGTAGACTAGATGGTGACCACATTGCTGGGGACCTTGAGTAGTTTCAGGCTGGAATGGGTGAGGGGAGATCCAGGTGGGAGATGCTGCGGAGTGCTGAGAGGTGAGGAGTCAGTGAAAAGGTAAACTGTTCTTTGGGGCATTTGCTGAGCAATGCAAACCACGTTAGCATAGGGGCTGCAGAGTGGCTTAGCCTCTGCCATCACTTACGTGGGAAGGGCTGAGGCGGAGCTGAGGTCCTTGGGAAGCAGGCAGGAGCTGGAATTCACACATCTGGGTTGAGGTGCACTTCTGAAAGGAATAAATCGCCTAGGCTCTAAACTCTAGCTAACAGTACTCTGTCAACTTTGGTGTTGAAACCATTCGATTTCCAAACTGCCCAAACACTGGACTGTGACAGTTTTCAAAACATGGATTCATGGGGAGCCCTTTCCTCTGTATTAAACAAAAAAAAATCAAGTCCATTTCACTGTCTGAAATATACCAACTCAGTACTTGTGTCGCCAATGATAAAAGGGAGCCCCCTGGTGGTAGAAATGACTACTGTACATCATCAGTGAAGGATAAACCGATCCAAACCGCCCCTTTTTCAGGGCTGTGCTTTCTGATGCAGCATTCAGGAACACATCTCTGGATGTCTGAGCCCTGTCCCATCATTTTCTTTTTAACTAGGAAGACATAAGGAATTTCACAGTCACCTGGGAGCAAAGTATGGATGTCCCTGAGATTTAGATAGTACTCAACATGTACCAAATCCACAAGACACATGATCATTATGTGCTGTTCTCCCTGGCCCCATGTGAGCATATACTAATACACATTTTAAAAATTAAAAGAGGGGCCGGGGAGATGGCTCAGTGGAATAAGCGCTTCCCTGGCAAGCGCAAGGGCCTGAGTTCAATCCCCGGTTCTGGAAAAAAAAAAAAAAATTAAAAGAAAAAGAAAGTAGACTCAAAATGACAAAGAATTGCTTGAAACCTAGACATGAGGCCGGCTGGTACCCTGCTGACATTCTTTGCTGGAAGACGCCCCTCCCCCCACCTGGAACTAGCTGAGGTTCGAGGCCAGAGCTCTGCTCGCTTCCATCCCTTGGACAAACTCCTCAAGCCCTTAGTGTGAAGTGGCAAGTGTGTGGACGTTGGAGCCCCGAATAGGAGCAACGCCACATATTTGCTTAAAACAAAGCTTGCTTTGTTTAGGGTTGAATATCTTCCAACACAAGGAAGAGTACTATCGTTGTGCGCTTCTTTTGCCTGAAAATGAAGTATAAAGGTCTTATGCCAACCTTCAGGATGATCAGAACGCTAGAAATGGACCAAAAATTGCAGGGCAACATGACATGATACTGTGAGCACCGGATATGTGTGACACCAGCCTTCAAGGAAAAAGACACAAGTGTCATAGTTATGGCAGCTGCTGGCAGATTGGGTGTCTAGGGCAGGATCTTAAGGTTCTGTTACCTGTACCTGCGGTGGACTTTAAGGACTCTGTTGTCTCTGATACTTACTGTCTCCTAAACAATTTGCATGCGGTCAGTCACATAATTGGACTATAAATGTCTCCCTTCTCATCAGATTGAAAGAGCCAGAAGAGTAGAAACTGGCCTATTTATTTATTTCTCACTTTTATTCCAATACAGAACACACTGCCTGACACCTAGTAGTGGTCATAATTATTTCTTCAATAAAGTTTTAAATCTCCCATATCAGGCCGGAGAGATAGCTCAGCAGCATAAACACCTGCCTGGCAAACGCAAGGTCCTGACTTTAATCCCTAGTACCAAAAAATAAATAAAAAACAAAATCTCCCATAATGTGAAAGATTATCATCAAGTAATGCTGTGTATCATTATAATACCAAATGATAACAGTAACATGAATTTAGTGTCCGCCTCTGCATTTGATATATTGAAGATTCCAATGAAAGTTTATATGCTAATAATTTCTGTAATAAAACTATGTCTGATAAAATTGGAATCTTTATTTAAGTGTTTAAAATTAAACCAGTTCTCTTTAATAGTGCATGAATGTTCTTTGGTGGAAGGAACTATGTAGAGATTTTGCCCTGGCAGTAATTTTCCTCTTTAAGTGAAGATTTTGTAGTATGAGTAATTGCTGCTGATTACACCTTCCCTGTTTATTAGACAATCACCTGCTATCAGTTTTTTTGTGTTTTATTAGAAGCCAAAATCCATACTGGGTTGTCCTATAAGGAAGGGGAAAAGGGGGAAAGAAGAGAAATGAGCTGGGAGTGCTTGCGCCCCCCATGCCTTCCCAGCAGCAGGAGAGCAAGGTGGAGGAGGAGGTGGAGGAAGAGGAAGAGGAAGAGGTCGGGGCCAGCCTGGGCAGCTCAGCCAGACACTGCCCATCTCAGGATAAAAAATGTAAAGTACATATGAAAAGAATTGGAGGGCCTGGGTTATAGCTCAGCATATCCTGGCAAGCACAAGGTCCCAAGTTCAATCCCTGGTACTTTGAGGAGGAAAAAAAAAAAAAAAGGAAAGGAGGGGAAAGAAGTTCAGGAATGCATCCTCAGGGAACGGAAACACCGCTGCTCAGCCTGGGGCCAGGAGCAGGAAGGAATCACTCACAGTCAAGAAGCAGGGAAAAGCTAGGGCCCACTTAGGTCAGCCTGCTTTGCTAAGGGGACAGTGGGCAAGTTTCTAAGGGCAATCTCACGTCAGGGTGAGGGGCAGGGGCATTATAAAGGGTTCAAGGCGTGGAAAGGTTTGGAAGCAAACCTTCCGGGGTCACTGCATTCCCAGGATGACTCACCGCTGCCAGCCTTTCAGGCTCAGGGAGCTGTGACAAGGTTGTTGGTCATAGCTGGAGGCGACAGGGCCAGCACCACAGCCTGCAGGAAACCTATTCTCATGAGGGCAGACCGATTTCTGCTGCACATGATCTTGCTCTTGCCAAGTTGGCAGCATGCTTTAATGAGGGACTTTTGTTGCTGAGTGATTTATTTATTTATTTATTTATTTATTTATTTATTTAACGTATTTAGTACCAGGTCTCACTACACAGATCCTACTTGTAGTGATCCTTCCAGTTTTTCAGCCTCTCAAGTGCTGGGATTACAGGCACGTGCCACCATATTGAAGTCTCAGCGCGCCTCTGGGGCAGGGCCGGTATGGCACCTGAGCTATCTGGCCGGCCCTTGCTGCTGAGGGTTTATTTTATTTACTTATTTTAGGGAAGGGTCTACAGGGTGTTCAGGGTCTCACTACTAGATCAGACTCATAGTGACCCGCCTGTTTACAGCCTCCCAAGAGCTGGGATTACAGGTGTGCATCACCACGCCCAGTCTCAATTGCTGTCTCACTCAGTGCGCCTCAGGGGCAGGGCTGGCAGGCAGGCCCGGGGACGGAACCCCCAGCCCCTGCACCCAGCTTGTGGGGGCTTAAATCTGCTGAGCTATTTGGCCAGCCTGCTGCTGAGGGTTTAAACCCTTTCTCGTTACCATGGATTACCCCTCCGTCTGTCTCAGAAATGTGAAACCTTTGTAAGGGATTCTGTTTGTAAAAGGCAAAAGCTCATCCTTCCCAGAACTGTTTTGACTTCCTAAATTAATAGCATCCAGGGCCAGCCAGATAGCTCAGCGGATTAAAGCACCTGCCGAGGCAGACGAGGGGCTGGGAGTTCATTCCAGGCGGTGTGCCATGCCAGCCCCATCCCCGGGGCCTGCTGAGATGGCAGTCGGACTGGGCATGGTTGCACAAGCCTGTAATCCCAGCGCTTGGGAGGCTGAAAAATGGGAACAACTCGTAGTGACGAGTCCAATCTGTGTAGTAAGATCCTGGAGACTCTGTACTAAATACATAAAGAAATAATAAATAGCATCTTCCTCCGAGATGGTGTCCACACGAACCCTACGATGAATGTGCATGAGAGGACTCTCTGCAGACCACCCAGGTCTGTGAAACACTGGCTTCCATGGCGCCTGGCCCTGCGAGCCCCCCTCGTATGCACAGGAGCCCCCCAGGTGTCTGCTGTGGAGCTCTTCGGTTTTCCTAGGTTCCAGGTTACACATCTGCCTTCCTGCACGTTCAGCTGTTCACCAACGTCTGACTCAGAGTGCACATTTGAAGGAGTGACAAGGAAGTGCCAGTGGTTTTGAAGAGAACTGTGCCTTCCCAGGTTTTTTTCAGGACAAATAAGAGGGTCAAATGTTTAGTTACTTACAGAATGTGTGATTTGTTTGCAAAGTGTATGTCTGAGGGGTCAAGATGTTGTTAGGCTCAGGTCAACAATTTCTGACGTTGCCAGTCATGCGGAAGGCCCAATACTATTATGGGCTACTGGACTCTTTTAGAATATTTTGCTGAGTTAACACACCTATCATATTCAAATGACAGAACTAAACAAAAAAGGGGATACAGATGAACGTCTATTTTGTATCTGTGTATTCAAAATGGTTAGGATAGATATATAGTTACATTCTCTTAATGAATAGAATGATTTGTTCTAATGGTGTTTGTAAATAGGGTATCATGTCCGCATCTTGTACAGCAAATAACCAATAGGAAGAGAGTATGCAATGTGTTAATTATTGGAACTGTCCTACCAGTTTGATTTGAAACTGTCTCATTGCTATTTGTTTCTCAATAAAATTATGGGGGAAAAAAGGTGTTGTTATGGTTCATCCTCTAAATTTATCCCTAGTCTCCTGTCCAGTGGGTCTGGCTTTGTTCGTACAGATTCTGTTTTTGTTTATGGTCTGCTATCGTACAAACCTCTGAAATGACTGCTTTGCTCTTCCAAGGTGTAAATCCCAAGCATGTGTCCCTCAGAGCCAGCGGGAAGGACATCAACTCGTATGCTTGGAATAACCAGCTATTTCCTAAGTCCCTGGGACCTGTGGGTGCAGAAGGTGCTTTCAAAAGGAATAACGCAGGTAAAACAACAGCACAGCTAAGACATCGATGCTGCTTGCTGCCTAGGGATACTTACTTTTACCTGTTCTCCACAGCTGCCTCCCAGGGGCGTGTGTGCCCCAGGCGGGGGCCAGAGGCTTTGCATCTGAGACTTGGGCACAGACAGTGTGAAGGATGTCATCTGCCAGGGGCTTCCCTTCCGTCCAAGCCCTCTCCCCACTAGATTGGCCTCATCGACTGACTGAGAGCTGTTCCTCAGCTCTCCTGCTTCACAAAAGCAAGGCCTCTCCTGGGTTAAGCTGACCTGTTTCCTCCCGAGGTGTAAGAACACCTGTGGTGCCGAGAAAAGGGACCATCTGTCACACTTGAGTCAGCGTGGAGAGAATAAGAGACCCTTGAGGACTACACAGAAAATCTTTTCTATTTTTTATTATTTTTTGTGTTTTGTTTTTTGAGATGGTTCCATGAGGCAGTTCGGGATTGCTTGAGCTCACCTTGTAGCCTAGGCTGCCCTGGAGCTGCTGCCTCAGCCTTTGGAGTGCTGGGCTCACAGGTGTGTGCCACCACTCCCTGCCTTGTTTTTTGTTTTGTTTTGGTTTTTGTTGTTGTTGTTGTTGTTCTGTTTTGTTTTTGGCTTTTTGTGAAACAAGGACTTACTTTGTAGTTCAGGCTGGGCTTGAACTCACTATGGAGCCCTTGCCTCTTGAGGTGATCCTCCCGCCTCAGCCTCCTAAGTGCTGGGATTAAGGTGTGTGCTACCACGCCCAGAGAATCTTTTCTAAGGCTGGAGATTTTCAGTTCTTAGCTTTCAGAAAGTAGAAGCAGGATCTAGTGGAGTTGTGAGCTGGCAGGTACCTAAAGATCACTTTCATGAGATCACTGTATGGCTTTTGTTTTGATTTGTTGCAGTACCAGGGATTGAACTCAGGACCTTGTGCTTGCCAGGCAGGCACTTATTCTACTGCGCTATGTCCCCAGCCCCACTGTATGACTTTGGGTCTGCAGCCCAGAAGAGTACAAAGAGTAGGCCAGCAAAGCTGTACGAAAAGCACCATTCATTCCCAGACTCTTCGTTCTTAACAGAGTTTCCCAGTGGTTCTCTCTGCAGGTGAGGCAGACAGACAGGAACAGGGACAAGGACAGATGCTGAATCCCACATGGCTCCGGCAACATGCATTTGTGAAACTTAAGCTACTTGACGTCTCATTTTCCTCATGAAGAGCTGTGTGTTCCGAGCCAGGCATGGTGACCTTAACCTGTAATCCCAGCACCCTGATGTAGGATGTAGGATATAGGATATAGCTATACATCAGCTATACATCCTACACCAGGATGTAGGATATAGCTCAGTGTGTAGGCTGTTCAGATGTCAGACAGGGACAGGAACAGAAAGGTGTTTCCAAGAAAACCTACTTTTCATGTTTAGTAATCAAAATCATAATATTCATCTTTTCCCATTAATTTCATATAATGAATCATTCTAACTTAATCTACAAAAAAGTAAATGGCTACAGAAATTTAAAACTTTTTAAAAATTCATACATATTTTTGAGTGATCAATTTAAAGACTTATTAGCCTAAAATTATATTTGGATAAAATTTGGAAGTGCATACTTGTGATGCAGCACTTGGGAGGCTGCGGCAGGAAGATCACTCTGAGCTCGAGGCCAGGCTGGGTGACGTAATCTAATTCAAGGTCAGCCTGTACTCCATAGTGAGACCCTGTCTCCAAGAATTTTGGGGAACCTCTTAAGTTTTCTAACTCTATTAAGCAGAGCCTGATGAATAAGGGTGGGAATAGATTTCAAAGATGTGACATACTGGTGGCATGAGCACTCACCTGGCCGAGGCACAGTTGGTCCGTATGGGTCTATAATGTTTTAGCTCATGGAGGAAAAGGGATGTTAGTAATTTATGCAGTGTGGCTGTAGATATTTCCAAAGCTACTCCCTGCAGCCCATTAGCATGATCGTCAGAAGCGGTGGATTTTCACGCAGCATCCTTTCAGCAAGCTCTAAAAGATACCCAGGGCAAGAAGACCTCAGCACATGGGATTAACAGTAAGGTCCTGGAGTGCTGAGGATGCTATATAAATATCACAGCTCCTACGGAGCCGCTCCTTGTACCTGTCGCCCTCCACCACAGTGCTGCACCTCTCATTCAATGTCACCTTCTATTGAAATTTCCCTTCCAAATGAAGAGGGTAACAGTTAAAAAGAACATGAAGTGAGTTATATGGAATGACATACATAGCAAGGTACTTTTATTATAATTTCTTCAAAAGTAATTTTTTGTTCTTCAATATGAGACTCATAACTAATGGAAGAAAGGATTCTCTGTGTTCCTTAAAAGAATCCCTAGTTGTGCATAATCCACACAGTTTCAAATTTGCTAAACAGGCAATTCAAATGAAATATTGTCTTTATTCAATGTTCCAAATAAACATATATGAATTAATCTAAAAAAAAGGAATTTTTGGAAGCTAAGATATGAATGAAAATATAATTTTAGGGGTATGGGTGGTAGCTCAGTGGTAGAGCATTTGTCTGGATATACAAAGCCCTGAGTTCTGTTCCTAGTACTACAAAAAATATATAATTTTAAGGCCAGGCATGGTGCACATGCCCATAACCCCAGCATTCAAGAGGCTGAGGCAGGAGGGTTGCCACAAGTTCAAGGCCAGCCTCAGCTACATAGTGAGTTCAAGCCCAGCCTGAACACAGTGAGACCTTTTCTATAAATAGTAGAAATAAATACATACCATTTTAGGAGAAGAGAATTAATGTGAAATTTCCAAATGTGACTAGATAAATTTTTATATCAGAATAGGTGGGCATAAAAGCATATGCTATTTAGATTCCATTGGCTATATTTAACAGAAAGACATAGTGGTTTGATTTTTTGAAAAATATTTATAATTTCAGTATTCCAGAAATAACATCATTTGCAACTGTTATGATGAAAAATTTTAGATATCAACTTATAAGTATATGAAGAGATACAATCTTTTAAAGATGTGGTTGTGGGCTGGGATTACAGTTCAGTGGCACAAGCACCTGCTTGGCAAGCAGAAGGTCCTGAGTTTGATTCCCAGTAAAAAAAAAAAAAAAAAAAATGTGGTTGGTAGCTGGGCCTGTGGTACATACTTACAATCCCAGGGATGCTGAGGCAGGAGGACTGCAGGTGTGAGTGCAGCCAGGGAAAGTTAGCAACTTAGAGAAACCCTGTGCCAAAATAAAAGGTAAAAAGGGGCTAGAGATGCAGCTTACTGGGGAAGCCCTGGGTTTAGTCCCTGTTTACTACAAACAAACAAAAAAAAAAAAGAAAAAGAAAAAGAAAACAAAAAACGGGTGGCAGTAGATCTTAAAGTGTGGCAGTTGTGGTTCCAGGAAGTGTGCCACCTGCTGAGGCGTCCTGATGAGAGAGCGGCCCACTTGCTCTTTCTACCCGTGTCTCCCTCTCCTAACGACTTAAGTCACCCATGTATGGAGCTGCGGTCTCTGTCTGTCTGTCTCTCTGTCTGTCTCTCTGTCTCTCTGTCTCTGTCTCTCTCTGTCTCTCTGTCTCTCTCTCTCTCTCTCTCTCTCTCTCTCTCTCTCTCTCTCTCTCTCTCATCTTCTTGAGATGGGGTCTTCATACACAGCCCAGGCTGATCTCGAACTTGCAAGGATCCTTCCGCCTCAGCCTCCCAAGTGCTGGGATTACACGCGTGTGCCCCCACGCCTGGTAGTCGTTTACTCACGTTTCCTCTGTTATTTAAAAACAGTATTCACAGAACCAAAGAGTCACACAAACAAGTTCAGAGGACAGCATGACAGCTTTAGGGACACACAGTGGGCACCATGGAAAGCCGTGAACACACGGGAATGTCTTCTCTTACGAGTCTTTTCATGAATCATCTCATTTTTTCTCTGCTTTTTCTGTAACATCCTCATTACTATTCATTCTTCCTTCCCATCTGCCTTCTCTTTAGAGGAAAGCATAATAAAACCAATTGAAAAACTATCATGCAATGAAAGTTTTCCTGAGCCGTTAGAGGCCCTTCCAGGTAACTTCTGCCGAGGACAACGAGCACAGCTTGTTCCCTGGCTCCCTGTGATCGTCCTCTCGACTTTGCCCAACCCCATGTCCAAGGCCGAGGTGACCTGCTTTTCCAGGTCACAACAGGAGTGGGACAGCGAGAAGCGTTCCACGTCCTCACGAGCCTCGTCCTAAAGCCCTGCTTCTCTTGTCTTCTTAAATTCACGTTGGCAACCTGTAGAAATCAGGCGGTCAGGCAAGTCATCTGTGGAAAAGGCTGAAAAGAGTGTTTTCTAACTCTGTGAGCTGTATTCCTAGGAGATAGATAGATAGATAGATAGATAGATAGATAGATAGATAGATAGATAGATAGAGAGATAGAGAGATAGACAGATAGATAGATAGATGTAGTGAAATTCATTTCTTAAGCAACAACAATCATTTAAAAGAAAAAGTTGGGGCTGGGGTGATAGCTCAGTGGTGTAAGCACAAGCGCAAAGACCTGGGTTCAATCCCCGGTGCCACATGCCACCCTGGCCCCTCTGGACACTGAAATGGGGCACGGTGATGCGTGCCTGTAATCCCAGCACTGGGGATGCTGAGACCGAAGGATCACTGTGAGTCTGAACTGTATAGTAAGACCCTGTATTGACTAAATAAATGAAAATTAAAAAATAAGTGAAAGAGAATCCAGTCGATTTCCTAGGGCATTACCCCTGGTTTCTGCAGTGCTCACCACTAGCTCCAGCCTGGAAACTGAAAGCTCCCGGGTACCGGGAATAATACGCCAAGGTAGTTTAAGAAGACTTGATTCTCTGTGCCTTCTTTCCTCGCGCCCCCTCCCAGCAGCAGCAGACCCCACAGGCCCTCGCCTGGCGCATGGCTTGTAGTGCTGACCACGTCCCTGCTTTGGCATTCACTAGCTTTCAGGATTTGGGATGAGTTATTTACCAGTTTCTCCATCTATAAAATGGACAAAATTTTATTTATTTAGATATTATCATACAATTCTGCCCAGGATTTTTATCACGCAATAGGCACTGCTATGAGATGCAGTCCTGGTATTCAACTTCCTTCCCAAAAGTCTTTCTGAAATGAAGGACAGGTTGCCAATTCCAGCTGAGTGTGAGCTGTCAGAAGAGGCTCGTTCAGGCAGCTGTGCCGTGTGGGCTTCAGCAGGGCCCAAAGCTCAGGGAGAGATCCTTCCGGGAGGCTCATTATACTGTTTCCAGTGTTCATTGCTTCCAGGGCAAATATTTCTTAAGAGCTGTCTGTGTGATGGCAGGAACATAAAGCTCAGGATTCAGACATACGGACAGAGGACACCTCAGTTTGGGCTGCCGGGGGCCAGTTCTTTGGGCTGTCAAAGCGGAGCACTGGAGTCCCTGCCGGCATTGCCTGGGCCTCCACGCTGGGCCGCGCCAGGCTCTGGGCTGTCTCTGCCGCCTTTGCCAGGCCTCCCGCTCTTGTGCTGCGAGCGCTTCGAGCTGCGTCTAGCAGGCCTGCTCTGCCCCCACCCACCTCTCCAATCCCTTCCCTCGGTTCCTTCCCTCAGTGTGGACGTTCCTTGGGGTCTTTTCCAGATCTCTGCATGCTGTGCAGTCCCCCGAGCCCAGACCTTGGGCCCCCAGACCCTGAACACCAACCTCTCAGCATCCTCAGGGCAGCGTGTCTGCCTCCCCTGCTCTGCTCTTCTGAGCCACCTAGGCTACACCATGGGGGCTCCATAGCCGCCCTTCAGAGCACCCACCAGCCGCCTGCCCTCCACACCTCGGTGACGGCGGCGGTCTGACCCTCATCCTCATCCCTGTTCACCTCCTGGCTGGGCTCCTCCTCCCACCCTCAGGTTTCCCCCTTCTGGCCGCCAGACCGACTGCTCACTCACGTGTTGGTGGATGGGATGCCCATCGCTGGCACAGTTGCCCGCCAGTGCTTGGCTTGCATGGCTTTTGGTCCCTACAACAACCCTGGGAGAGGAAGCCCACTTGTGACACGTTTAGAAGATGACCAGAGAGAGGCGCAAAGAATGCTTCAAGGATCAGGGGCTCGTGGCAGGAAACGCTTGAGGGTGGAGAAGCAGCGTAATTAAAAGCTTTCTGGCGCATCCAAGGTGCGCCAAGCAAACCTGCCTGAGCTCAGCCCCTTGGTGGTCATGGAAGCTGGGGCAGACCACCTGGCCTCGAGGAGCCACAGTGTGCGAGTGGTAACAGTGGGCGCCCGAGAGGGTTGTTCTAGGGACTGGGTGGGGCGTCTGGACGGCCAAAGCTTAGCCTCGAGCACAGTAGGTGCTCAAAAAAACTTACTTAGAATAATTCAAAGTTAGTCGATGGCACTTACAAATGCTCACCTTCTGACTCTGAAACGTTATGATACATCACTAGGAAATCTTGGAAGTTACACTACTTACAACCAGTCAGGATATATCCCTTCCTTTCTCAAAAAAGAAGTTGGGTCAGCCGGCCAGAGGATCCACTTGGCGCCCCTCGGGGGGACTTCAGGTAAGAACAGATTTAGCTAAGAACAGCTTCGGATGTAGTTTTTGAGATTTCTGAACTGAGAGGTGATTTTTTTTTCCTCTTAAATTTAGATGGTCACTTTTGCTGAGTAGACTTTTAAGTTAGTCTTGCCTGCTTAACACAGTTCTCATTGTTTCTTTTTTCTTTCTTTCTTTTTTTTTGTGGAACTGGGGATTGAACTCAGGCCCTTGCGCTTGCCAGGGAAGCACTTATTCTACTGAGCCATCTCTCTGGCTCCTTCTAATTGTTTCTGTCATCATGTCCCTTTCCTCCAAAAATATGGCTGACAGGTAATAATTAAGAGAAGAGCTATCTGTAAAGCAGTGTCTGTGACACACAGATTCTGTTCCAGAAATGACAGCCTCTACTCGGCATGAAAGACAGTGAAGTCCCACATGACCGGAAGGCACATCCCTCGGGTAGGAGCCAGGGAGAGCCTGCTCCTCGCGTGAGGGAGGCAGGAGTGAGGAGGGACTGAAGACATCAAAGCCGTTTGTGAAAAGATTTAGTTCTCTATCATTTGAGATATTTATGTTTTAGTTTATCATTTATAGAATAATGTTTCACTAATTTTAAAGATTTTATAAATTTTTTAGCAGTAACATATGAATGAAATAAGCCTTATGATTAAAAGTTTGGGATTCAGGAATAGGTTACCACTTAAAGGGGTTTTAATGACCCATAATTATCCTAATATAAAATGAAGTTTCTTGCCAAGTACAGTGCCACATATCTGGAATCCCAGCTACTAAGAAGGCTGAGGCAGGAAGATCACAAATTAGGCTAGCCTGGGCAACATGGCTAACATGGTCTCAATAAAAATTCTTAATTTTAGAAACTGCTTTGATTTTCAAAAGGAAATTAGAGCTCTCTATGTGTTGCTCCATGAAACTAAAATTTTACAGGCCTCGTTATCCTAAATGCATTTTCTATAGTGATACTGTGTTTGAATATTGCTTAACCATAACTATTGGGGTCTTGGCCTATCCCAGTCTCCTAAATGAGTGAACAGCAAATGGCTTAAATAAAAGAGACAGGTGGTACGATTTTAGGGCTCCAGGAAGACCAAAATCCTCTAATGAAATTCAAGATTCCCTGTGGTTCAGATCAAGAATTTCTCTGGATGGGCTATATTTATTTGGTTTCAAACAAAGGAAGGATACGGAGGCAAGCCCATGAACTTCTCCAAGTAGTAAATGTTGCCAAGTAAGAGAACTGTTATCGCTAAGGTGGGCAGCTTTATTGCTCTAGAAAAGGGCTGCAGCAGCCCACATCCTTGGTTGCCTCTGCCGAGGTTACCTTGACTTCAGAGCACCGTGCATGTGCTCTTTTCCAGCGCAGCCAGAGGTCCCTGCGTCCAGCAGCCTAGCACTGTGCAGCCAAGATCAGCATATAACTGCAATGTGGTGTTACCAGCTTCCCCCCTTCCCCTTCTCCATGGATGGCATCGGCCTAGAATGGATGCACAGCCAGATTATGTAGGAGCTTCAAGGAAGACCTAACACCGGTACTCCTCATACTTTTTAATGAAATGGAGAGGAAAGGACTATTTCCAAAATCATTCTTAAAAGCTAACCAGAATCAGACAACAGTCGAACCAAAAAAGAGAGCTATAGGCCAGTTTCTCTAATGAACATAGATGGAAAATCCTCAATGAGAGACTGACAAACAGTGCAACAAATCACCAAAAAGATTATGTACTGTGACCAAGTAGACTTCATGCTAGGAATGCAAGGATGGTTCAGCACATGCAAATAATAAATGTAATTTACATAAAGAGAAGTCAAAAATCACATGATCATCTCAATAGATGCAAAAAAAGCTTTTGCTTTTCACAAAATCCAACATCCACTTAGGAAATTTAAAGAACCATGAAGCATAAGTACAAAAGCCCTGTATCTCTACATGATAAATGCCATTTGTGACCAATGTACTGCTAGCATCATATTAAATGGAGAAGACCTTAAAGTCCTCCAAAATGAGGACTAGGATAGGCATGCCCACATCGAGAATATGTAAAGAAGTCAAAAAATTAGTAAAAGACCAAAGTAGAAGGCCCAAGCAAAACATGGGCAATGGAAATGAATAGATACTTCTCAGAAGAAGTACAGATGGACAATAAATACATGAAGAAACACATATTGTCACTGGTCATTAGAGACGTGCAAATTAAAACTGCACTGAGATACTCTTTTATCCCAGAAAGAATGGCTGTCATCAGAAAATCTAATAACGAATGCTGGCAGGATGAGGGAATAAGGAACACTTCGACCTGGTTGGTGGAAATGTAAACTAGTACAACCACTGTGGAAATCAGTGAGGCGATTCCTCAAAAAACTAAACATAGAGATGGTGTTCAACCCTTCTATTCCCTTTCTAAATATCTTCCCAACGGAGTTAAAATCCTATTACAGGGATAACAGCACACCTATGTGTATAGAAACACAACTTACAATAGCTAGCTCTTGGAAACAGAGTTCATGTCTATCAGCAGGTGACTGGACAGGGAAAACGTCGTATGTGCACATGGCAGTGTACGGCTCTGCCATAAGAAAGGTACACTTGAGGCGTTTGGAGGTAAATGGATGCATGTTGAGAACATGATAGTGAAGTAAGGCAGACTCACAAGCTTAAATACTGCATAGAGATACATCTTATGTGAAAAACAAAATATGAATATACAAATAAAGAACAAAATAGAGAAATAGGAAGTAGGGAGAAGTTCAGATATGTCCCCAAAATACATATTTTGTTGTTTCAAAAATATTTTAATATATATGCTAGTTTGTTTCATTTACATTGTTAGTTTATCTTAGATTGTTACGAGTTTTTGTTACAGTGTTTCTTTTATAACAATCATCTTGATTTATATCTTACGCTCTGAGAAACTACTTTGAAAATAATACTATATTAACTATAATTATTCTCTCATTTTATAGTAAAATTTTGCTTTGTTTTGCTTTTATTTTTAATAAAATAAAAAAGAAATGCGGGCTCATAAACTGCTGACAAGTTTGTGTCAACGTAATACTACCGTAGAATTTTTGCTTTTAAAAAAAAGCCAATGAGAGTGGTGCATGCCTGTAATCTCAGCACTCAGGAGGCTGAGGCAGGAGATCACTTGAATTCAAGGCCAACCTGAGTAGCTAATAGTGAGATCAAAGCCAGCCTGAACTGTGGAGAGAGATCCTGTCTCAAAAAACAAAAATAGGCATAATGGGAGGCTGAGGGAGGATGGTAGATTTCAACCTAGGCAGGGCAATGTAGTTACTTATTGAGGCCCAGTCTACAAACAAAAAAATTTTAAAAATGAGCTGAGGATGTAACTCACTGTAAAGATCCTGGATAATCCCAATACTACAGAAACATTAAGAAATTTAAAAATAAAAAACCTCAAAGACCAGTGAATTAATGTTTTTTTAATGTATTTGGTGCAGGGTTCATGCAGGTTGGACTTGGTAGTGATCATCCTGTTTTCAGCCTCCCCAGCACTGGGATTACAGGCACGCACCACCATGTCCAGTCTTGGTGGCAGGCTCAGTGTGCCCAGGGCCAGGACCCGTGCTATCCCTGCATTTGCCAAAGCAGGCGCTTAGTCCACTGAGCTATCTTGCCAGCTCTGAATTAATCTTTTAAAGATAAATTCAAATCCCCCTGAGAAAAGGATGAATTAATTTATTTCTAATAGTCAAGGACTGGGGATGTAGCTCAGCAGCGTAAATGCCTATCTGGCAAGCCCAAGATCCTGAGTTCGATCCTTGGTATAGCAAAAAAGAAAAAAATCTAATAATCAGATAAATACAACTCCAGTTTCTGACTCTGATTTCTTCCAGAATTCACCTGGAGCACGAAGCCCGGTCAGGGACAGTTCGCAGGAGCCACATACAGCCCCAGCACCAAAACCCTTCCCGTCGTGACGGGTGCCCAGCCGGTGTCCTCAGTGCCTGGGAGGACTGACTGGGCGGCCAAGTATGGAGGCCACCGCTAGGCCAGGACCTCACCAGGACAACAGAGGCCTCTGCGGAGAGGAGCTCGGCCCTGGCCAGGCGGCCTCCACGCTCCACGCCACTGATCTCGGGGAAACAGCGCAGCAGCGGGCACCTGGCCGAGCACAGAGCACCTCCTATTTTCTTTCTTCCCTAGAAATGAAACGTGTTCTCCTAGCACCGTGGCCCACAGTGCTGAGACACGAGTAGGACTTCACAAAGTATTGAATAAACTATTTGCCAAAGTATCAAGTATTTGATCGACCACGTAACAGGTACAAAGTACAATAAGAAGCTTTATTTAAAAGCCTCCAGAAAGTGTCGAGAATGTTTGTTTTCGTTTGTTACATCCTGGCCTAACCTGTTGAATGTTTCTTTGCTGAGCAGTGACAGCCGGGGGACACCCATCCCGCCTCCTGCCTGTGCCCTGTGGGGACAGGCTGTGCTCCCAAACTTCAGAGAGACTGTCACTTTCATTAATTTTTCTATCCTCAAACTGAGATCAGTGGCAACTCCGGCCTTGAGCAGACTCATCTTTCTTAGAAATAAATTTATCGGGGCTGGAGAGATGGCTCAGTGGTCTAAAGCACCTACTTGAAACAAGCTTAGCAAAGCACAGGGACCGCGGTTCGATCCCCCAGCACCACATGCCAGCCAGCCGCGCCCCCTGGTGGGCTGAGCTGGCCACACACACACACACACACACACACACACACACACAAATAAATAAATGTAATAAATAAAAATAAATAAATATTTAAAAAAAATAAATTTATCTATAATGTAGACGAGAACAAAATGGGGCCTCCAGCTTTCACTGCAGCTGTGACCGCATGGTGACTGTCCCTTCGCAGCTTCCATACCAAGCAGTCACTTGGTTAGGGTAGTTCTGGAAACGGAGTTGGACGCTTGTTTACCCCACCTTGCAAATCCGCCACACACCAAGTGACAAAGATGACGCGTGCCAGCTGCACCCCACAGCAGTGCCCTGCTGCGGAGACCCTCAGTTCCGCTCCCAGAACACAAGCCCTCGGCTGCTTTGGTGATGGGATTTTAAAAAACAATTTTGTACACCTTTTTCCTTAGTTTTACTCCTACATTTGTATTTAAGAGATTTCGAACATGCGGCTATTTTATCTTCCTGGGCTGCACCTTAGCACTGTGTGTTCTTTTTAAAGAACAGTAATGTTACCAGCCGTGATGCTCTTACGCATTTTATGACTTAGTAACAGGCGCTACTGGGGTCACTGTCATCTCGTGGACATTATCCGCAGGCACGCTGAACACAACCCCACCGTGACAGGTCCCTCCGCAGTCAGCCGTTCAGAGTTCACATGTTGAAGATCGAAACAGTAACTTACCCTCGCAGCAGTGGGATCTGTTTGTACAGTTCTAATGTCTCCAAGTTTATAATTTTTTTCTGTTTCTGAGGAGAACTGTGAATATTTAAATAAATATGGCTAACTAATGTGTTTTCTTTACATTTAAGTTTTTTTTAACCCTGAAGTCTGTTTTAAGTAGTAGATTTTTGTGTGTGTGTGTGGCAGTTTTGGGTTTACAGAGACATTCATCAAAATGTCCAGAAAGAGCTAAGCTGTATGTGGTGGTGAAACCTTTAATCCTAGCACTCAGGAGGCTGAGGCAAGAGGATCGCCACAAGTCAAGACCAGCGTCAGCTACATGGTGAATTCCAGGCCAGTCTGAACTACAAAGTGAGATCCTGTCAAAAATAGTACAGAATTTAATGGAGAACCTCTCACCCTCACCGCAGTTTTCCCTTCGGTATCTTGCCTTACCCGGGTACGTTTATTACAGTGACCAGCCAGCATCAATACAGTGTTAGAGCCCATGCTCTCTGTCACGATGTTATATTTTAGTATTTTAAGGCTTTATAAACCGTTCCCACACTTTCATAAACCTTTCCCACACTTTTAAAAACACTTCTAATGTTCTTTACCCTTTTCTAAACTCATAAGCTACATAATTTTAACATACTGTCCAGTACAGTGTATTCATGCTGTACTGTAAAGAAATACTGTAAACTTTAGATTTAATATTTTGTTGTAATTAACATTTTTAATGTTTTTAATATTTTAGAAATTTTAGACAAAAATCATGAAAACCATAAGTCCTACAGATATACATATGTTGTACTGTACACTACCACAAAATCCTGGAATATAGTGGAAAATCCACAATAAATAACTTAAATCATATTTTTTGAAAACCTGCAAAACAGTCCATGAAAGTCGAACCTCCAAGTAGCGAGGGACAATTGTACTTCTTCAACCATTCTCTCTCCAGAATCATGGGGTTGGAATCAGCGTGTAGCTCTTCCACAGTGGCGTCCCTCACGCAGCGCTGACAGCTCCTCGCGTCTTCCTAGCCTATTAGCTCCCGTTCAGCACCGACTCACACTCCATGTGCACTGTCCCCCG